TAAATCAGATCGTATTGTTCAAAGCCTTTAAAAGTATACATAATAGCGTGTAATCAATGTTAACTAAAACAAGTACACTAATTAATTATGTTGTAAAGTGCGATTAAGGGAGCGGGACCAATCACTACATTATTTGTAATGTTACATTAAAGAAAAAAGAAAGCAGTCTACATTTCTTTATATGTCCGTTAAATGTAAGTTCATATACCGTGTCCACATAACACTATTAGAAATAAATCTAACATTAATGTTGTCAAAATTATTAAAAAGAAAATGGTAAAGTGCCAATATTAATTATATTTCTGTAGAATATAAAAAGAAAGACTTATTTACAAAATGAGTGTTAGAAAAGCAGCCGTATACAACAAGAAAGTCATAACGTATATGAAATAAACGTCGCCATTATTATAATTGTGGAATATACAGTATAAAATATTATAATTAGAAAAATTTGTAATAGTTACAGTGTTAAGAATTTTTGAACGCGCTCATTTTCTATGCAAACTTCATTGTATTTTATTGGAGCATTTCATTCTTATTGTCAAAATTGTTAACACTATAACGTCATGCTATAGAATCATGTTTTATATTGTTTTATTATCAGTTAATCTTATGGTTTTTAAACAAGTTTTACATACAGAGGTACTTTACATCAACACTGGATGTAGTAATGATAATAATTTGTATGTACGTCTAAAGCTTCGTATCCATTCTTAAATTGAACAACTGATTGCTAAATGTTAGTGATAAATCAACCGTGAAATACTAAAGCGAAAAATACTGGTACTATAGTATGAAAAATAATATATATGTTTATAAATATATATATATATATGTATCTGTTTTTTCTATTAAGCAATATTTATACTTTTGACAATGTTACACACATGGATTTGTAAACGTACATGTAAGTGCAAATTTACCTTGAACGATGTACAACTGTGGAAAATCTTATAATTGATTTCGATGCTTTAAGTAAGTGAGAAAGTGGATATAACTTTCGAGAATTTTTTATACCAATCCTCATATTGTATTAAAGTAAATAAAATGTAGAAATGTATTTATATAGATTGACGTGTATTTGTATGTGCTGTTGTAGTTCACAACCATCGATCGTATCTTCATTTTATCTTTTGGGTGCAATGATACCTTCTAATTGGGTCTGAAAGAATCATTCATAAAAGTAGATTTATAACATATTTAATTTTATCCAATTAATACCTTCAGTTGTTGATTTGTCTTTTTAAGAAATTGTATTTCTTCGGCATGCTTCTTCTCCTCGGCTTCTCTCAATTCAGACGACCTCCTTTGAGCCTGATCATATTTTTGTTTCAATTCCGCCACAGTTTTTTCCAATTCCGCTTTCTGCACCCTCAGTTCATCCGCAGCTGCTATCAAATCTTCTTTTCCTTGCTCGGCCTACAGGAATTTTCATAAGATCCTTTCTCATTTTCTAAACACTTAAAAATACTTACTTGTAGAGCCTTGCGCATACCAAAGGCAATACTGCTTTGATACAATATCTGATATGCGGCCAATGTCATTTTAAGTTCATCTCGTATCCTAAGTAACAGTATACCACGTTCAGCGCAATTTACAGTAACCTGACGTATTATTTCATCTACAAAATAATATCCACTTTTCCAGTTTACATGTTTGCAAAAATAGAGAATTGAAAATCAGTCAGAAGACAGTGAAAGAAACTTTTACCGAAACATTGGGTGTAAAGCTCCCGGCGAACCGGACACAGGCCAGTTTCTCTTGCTTGTCTCTGCTGCAATTTCATGTCAAGTTGCTCCTGTAGATTAATAACATCCAATCTTGTTGCAGGTATACTTGAAACCTGTGCGAACCATATACATCAAACCGAGTAAACAAACTATTACGTTAAGATACTTCACCAATCAAATTTCTTGTACTTGTTGTTTCCATGTCTGTCCATTCTCTTCCCACTGTTTGGGTGGTAGAATCCTGTTCAAGACTTCAATGGTCTCATGTCGTGCCTCAACAATGGGAGCAGTAGTTTGTACTTTGCAAACTGTTGCTCCAATTTTTAGGCCTATCCCCTTACTGGTCTAACTCGATAATCAAACATGGAGTTAAAGATTACCTTTCATTAAATTCCTCTGTAAATAAATTCATAATCATAGAACCTTTTCTGGACGAGTGGCATCTAACACTGGGTTATCGTATTTCACCAAGGTGTCCAAAGTTGGTATAGTTCTATCCTTTATTGCTGTTGCCATTATTTCTGTTTTCGCTTGTGCAATACAAAATATATTTTAATTATCACGTACGTTTTAATGTATCAAGTAATAAGAGTATCGTGTACTGTGAAGTAGATTTAAAACAGTAGCTAATTTTGATAGTCGTCATAGCAACATTGATGTAGCAGGCGTTACCAAGTATGGAAAAATGAATGATTTCATGAGGAAAGCTGAGTATGTACTGTACAAGGAAGTTTTTATTATAACAAACATGATAAAATTGATAGGCGTTTGAAACTTATTTTATACAATTTTATATAATGTAAAATAATCTATGGAAATTGTATAAATTCATTTAGTTACATTCATTGCAATTTAAAGTTCAGTGTGCTTTTGCATGATTTTTGCTTCAAGATCCATATGAAGTTTTTGAACTGTTCTAGCGTGCTTTCTGATGTGTTGTTCTCTGGTGGAATTATCTCCATCCTGAGATTTCTTTTTACGTGTTGCTTCCAGAGCAGCTTCTGTGTGTAGATGACGTAGTTTTAGTAATCTGCCTTCGTAATGAAGAAGTTCTTCCTGTATAAAACAATGAAACATACATATATTTTTGTATTTTGTATATAAAAGACAAATTAGACAAAAATTCCATATATAATTACTTTTAAAGAAGCACGTTCTTCAGGAGAAAATTGACCTTCTAATACGATCCTCCACAATCCTTGAACTTTAGGTTCTACAAAGTCTTTGTGGTTTGGACCTGCAGCAGTCATTTTATCCAATCTATCAAAACCATGCTGGATTTCCAAATGTCTGTCCCTAAAAACATAAAATTATTGACCAACTCTGTGAACCATAAGCAAGTGTATAATTATTATTATAGTATACCTAAGTAGTTTTGCTTTTTCCAAGTGATCTAATTTCCTTGTAGGGAGATCATTAGTCATTTCTTCTTCTTCTTCTAGAAGATTCCATTTTTCTGGCTTGTGATCTAAACTATCTATGTATATAACATATATTATAAAAATTAAATACAATCTATATTGTATAACAGCTAGTATTCCTGAGTTCAGGATTACTTACTTTCATGTTTATCTTTGTCCCCAGTTTTCACATCTTTCAAAAGACTCATATATTCGTCGACTTTATCTTGATGATGATGGAATTCTTCTTTTAAAGTTTGTAGTTCTTCAGCTAACAAATATAGAGATTACGCCATAATGCCATTACAAATTAAGCGTAAAATATATACTCACAAGTAAAACCAGCTAATTCAGCTTTAGCCCACAGATTATTTAATCTTCTATCCCTAAATAAATCCTTCGAAATATAATTATTGCCATCGTTTAATGCTTTATGTTTCTTTAATAGATCAGGATTCTCTGTATCATTAAAATGTTCCAAAATTCCATATGTACTCATAATTCCTTGAACAGAAAAAATGTCCCCAGGTAAGTGAAATTAATTTCGAGTGACACAGAATGATAATTTAATTATTTATTTAAAATTACCTATAAGTTTTTTCCTTAATCGCGCTTCTTCTTCGCCATTTGGATCTTTACCTTCGGCTTTGAGATGTTTATGCGTAATTTCTTCTTTATCGTGAATTTTCAAGTCACTAAAGATTGACCGTAGCTTGATATCATTCAATCGCTATTAAACAATCATTAAATATTAATATATTTCCTTAAAAAATACAGAAAAAACTAGTACGTTACAATGAAACAACATTTACGTTTTTCGCTTTAATCCATAATATATTCAGCTTTGCCATCCGAAATGGTTTGTCCAAGTCACGAAGTGAAGTCAGAATTTCTAAAGGATCATCACTTTTTACATCATTTGCTGTCGCAGAGTACTTATTAACGGCACCACTCGTGTGAAACAATAAAATACACACACTCAATGGCAAAAAGACAGTAAATAAAGAAGTCATTATTATAGTTAACAAAATGTCTCCGCAAAGCTTATTCGAACGATTTCAATTTAACGGTATACAATTCGGCTCAAACTTGGAACAATACTCAACATCAATGGTGATGACAGTGACATGATCGGCCACGTTACATCTTCTATAGAAACTCAATTTTCTGTATAGGAAAAGTAAACTAACTTGGAAACCAGTAGGTAGTTAAAAATGATCATCTTAGTAAAATGCGTCGAATCGACATCTCAGAATTCCATAATTGCAATGAATTATAATTTCTACATAATAAATAGTCATTTCGAACCGACGAACAGATCGGTAATTGGCTAACAGTTTCAATGTCATGTCACAGATGGCGGTACCAGTTCTTGACGAGTAGTTTCAGCGCTTGGTACGGATGGCGGTACAAGTTCTCGGCAAGAAGTTTCAGCGTCTCGCCACGGATGGAGCCACATATTCTCGGCGAGAAGTTTTACCGTTCTGCCACGAATGGCGTCACAAGATCTTGGCGAGTAGTTTCAGCTTTCTGCCACGGATGGCGCCACAAGTTCTCGGCGAGTAGTTTCAGCTTTCTGCCACGGATGGCGCCACAAGTTCTCGGCAAGTAGTTTCAGCGTTTGGCCACGGATGGTGCCACAAGTACACGGCGAGTAGTTTCAGCGTTTTGCCACGGATGGCACCACTAGTTCTCGGCAAGTAGTTTCAGCGTTCTGCCACGGATGACGCCACAAGTTCTCGGCTAGTAGTTTCAGCTTTCTGCCACGGATGGCACCACTAGAGCATGGCGTGTACGCAGATGAATCGTGCCGCAGTTTACACTGTATCTAATGATAATTGTAACATGTATTATCCGTGCAAATTCAACTTCTTCTGCCATAATGTTATAAGTTATAATTTCACCAATTATTCAATTAATGCGTTATATTAACCACGTGTGTGTGTGTGCATTGACTTGAAAATGTAGATATGTTTGGTAATTTGGAAATAATTAATTAATTAATTAGTCAACAATTCTGTTGCGAAACATTACGGAGAATTGATCAGTAAACTCAACAGATAATTGCTAATAACTCGCTTCTCATTAGTGATTGATGAACATTTACTATCAAGGAATATAGAACGTTCCTTCAACTACTTTCACATATAGTTTATAGTCAGATTTTCTATCTAATTAAATAGTTATTACCAATTATTCAGACCCATATCATAGGATAACCTCAAATAATTTGACAGGTAGGTTTTATATATTTCAAACATTTTAGTGGATGTTTTTAATAAAAAATGTGTAGCTCCTTTAAATCTCGAGCTATAGGTGTCTTATAAACATTGAAATGTGTATGCAACCAAGGTGATTTGCTGAAGTAATTTTTCAAAACGCTTGTTCTTTAAAAAGTTTTCAATCCCCCTTTCGTAATAGTCTTGTGGGCGTGATTCCAAATAAGATTCAAGATGTTTTTTAACATCAGCTAAATGTTAAAAAAACATAACCTTTGATCGGACTCTACTAATGGAGTCTCTCTAGAGATTCTAAGGCAACATCATGGAAGTTAATGGTAGATATCTGTTCTGCTCAATGCACGGGTTTAGTCAGTTCCTGCACGATTTGCGGAGGTAGTAGATTCGTTCTCCTTCCAGAAGTTCAGGGTGCCCCAACTCTTGACCTCCGGTCCAGTCTGGTCATTGTAGTGGTCACTTCATTCCAAAATATTGTTTTTTTAAATTTCGACTCGTTTTCAACCTTTTTGGTGAAATTCAATGGAATTTTCTCGTTCCACAAGTGTCCATGGTTTCGCACGGTTTTGCTCACGGAAGGGGAGTATGAGAGACAGCATATTTATGTTACCTGTTACCAAGTTACCTGAGTCACTGATTCCAATTTAGTCCGCAATGATTACTCGACATGTACTGCGTACAAAGAGTGCCGTAACAAATACCGGCTTCGTTCTGACTCCCTTTCATTATTATAAATGATTGTAAAATAGAATAAGAACTGTAATGTTTAAAAATAAAAGTACTATAAAACTCAATCCAAACGTCTTTTCATTTTAGGTAGTTTTATTTTGTTCCTCACCCCCCTCACTCTATTCCTCTCCTCTACCATACTCATTTAATATATACTTAATCTTTTCTCAAATTCCTTCCTCCATTCCTTTCTCCTCCTGTACCACTGTAACATGTGTTCTCACATTTGTGTTTCTTCTCCTCCACATCAGCATCCGCTTTCTTCCTCGTCCTCTCTATACTTTGCAGTTTCACCCCATCTCGCTTCTTCCTCATCCCTTTTCAAATATTCTAGAACCCTTCCTAACTCTTACCTCTCTTCTACTCTTCCCCTTTTTTCATTCCTCTTTCATTCCGCCAACTATCTTCTACTCTCTCTCTCTCTCTCTCTCTCTCTCTCTCTCTCTCTCTCGCTCTCTCTCACACTTTCTCTCTTGCACTCTCTACTATCTCTCTCACACTTTCTCTCTCTCTCTCTCTCTCTCTCTCTCTCTTCCTTCTCGCCCTTCTTTAAAATCGTTCCATCGTTCACGTACTCCTTTCTCTTCCTCTCTCATTTTGACAGCTTCCACTACATCTCGAAAACTCGAAAATTTGTCAAATTTCAGTGGTACAAGTCAATAACAAGCCAGACAATGAATTTCAGGATACCTCCTCGAGATTATGTTCTCCTGATACTCGAAATTTCAGTAGTACAAGTCAATCATAATTCCGAATAGTTTCAGAGAAATTTTTGGACTTAGGAGGGGTATATGGGTTAAATAAATAGATAGTGATGTTTAGAATACATATATTTATTCATTATTAACAATACACATTAATACAATGTTTTATAATCATTATTTTGCTTATTCTACGTGTTTGTAGCGTTCCTATGGTTAAGTGCAGGTACGTCGATTGCGTGAAATGGCTAATTTGGGAGCTCCTTAAAGATGCACCTGTGCCATGTAGATCTTGACGATTGTTCGCAGCTCACGATGAAGATCAGGACTGAGGTCACGACGAAAATTGCGAGAAAATTACGAGGAAAATTACGAGAAAAATCATGAGAGAAATCATGAGAGAAATCACGAGAGAAATCAAGAGAAAAATCACGAGAGAAATCAAGAGAAAAATCACGAGAGAAATCACGAGGAAAATCACGAGAAAAATTATCAAGAAAATTATGACGAAAATCATGACAAAAATCACGAGGAAAATCACGACGAAAATTAAGAGAAAATCACGAGGAAAATCATGAGATTAATCACTAAGAAAATTACGACGAGTATTGTAAGGAAAATCACAAGGAAAATCACGACGAAAATCAAGACGAAAATTACAACGGAAATATATATATATATTATAACGAAAATATAAGATGATAATCACGAGAAAAATCACCAAGAAAATTAGGACGGAAATCGCGTCGTGATTTCAAGATACTCGACATATTTGCAAAACTCGCCACGTCCTGCTACCTGACACGGCCGAAAAACTTGTCGTCCTAAGAGTTAATAATTGTAGCACACGGAAAGAATCGTTTAACCGAACCTGATGATGGAAGAGGGGTGGGTATTAAATAACGCACAAATACTTTCTGCACCGATAAGTGCGATCACTCCTTTTATTTACAATAAAGAATATAAACTATAATACAACACAACTCAATACAATTATATTTCAGATCTTCCAACTTGAAATGTTGCTCGTTCGACGGTCCGATCTCGACTCTTCGACTGTCTGTTGCTAGCACTCTTCGACTGTCTGTTGCTAGCACTCTTCGATTGTCTGTTGTTAACACTCTTCGATTTTCTGTTGTTAACACTCTTCGATTGTCTGTTGGTACAACTCTTCCGTAGCAACCCCTATCTTCTATTGCTTCTTAAGGAGTTGTTCATAGCAGGACAGTTTCACATTACAGCGACTCGATTTGGAGAAGTCGTCGTAACAATATATTTTTGTTCAAGCCTTATACTCTACAATATTAATACGAATTCATAATTAGCAGCTATCAGCTCGGTATCATCATCGACTGAAAATACATTGCAACTCGTAATAATTTTTGAATCGAGCACGATACCGATTGCCCGGGTGTCACCACGAGGAGGTTGCTGCTTCAGAGACCCGAAAGAGAGTCCGAACGAACCCGGAATTCGCTATGACGAAAATGAATTCTTACAACGACGACTTATAAAACTAATTCACTCGCACGCTCGCATATGTCAAGTATTATCGCGGACCAAAAGTAGATCAAAGAAGAAGTCTCCGATCCACGGGGACCAAAATGAATCGGAGCAGAAGGCTATGATTCTTTCAAAGTGAGAAACAGTTGCGAATCGGTGCAGAAGGCACCGACTCGAGGGTGACGCGACGCGTACAATGCTCGCACAAATCCGGTGCCTCGCAGATCTCGAAGCAGAGTTTTAACATGAGAAATGAAGATCCGAAGTTAGACCCTTCCCACATTGGGTATTAGGTGGCCATTTCTCGCCCTGCGACCTAAAACTAAGTTAGGCCGCCTTACCCGTCTGAATCGGCACTAGGCGGGAGCCTACGCAGCCTACCTGTGTGACCATTTCTCGCCCAACGCCCCGCCCCTGGTCGGAGCTATGGACGGATTACTGGCCGAACAGCGACCAGGGAAGAGTCTCCCAGAAGGAGGGTCCCCGCAACCGAATAACCACATCGCATGCTAATTCGCCGATCAACGAAACGAGTTCGGACTTACCCGAAAGTATGCGCAAGCAAGGCCGCCACAGATTTTTGTTGTGACGCAGTCGAAGACGACACGCGAAAAAATAAAGCTAAGACAATATTACCGGACATACGCACAATTAGCGACTCGGGTACCTCGCGCCGTGTTATTAGGGTAACGGACGACCGCGAGTCGGCACAAAAAATGCAACTGTAATAATTTATCCTCGTGACAGTTCGAAACCGAAACGCGTAATTCGTCTGCGACGCACCGAAAGAAAAACCAGCCCCTATTATCCCTTTGTTACCGGGTAATTCTACACGCGACACCAAACACTTTTTGCCAGGGGTCAAAAAGGGTTCTGCAACTTCGTCATAGGTTACATTGGAATTTATTAATTGTAATACTTTAGGGAACGTATTTAAGAACGCATATAAAAGAATACTTCTTCAATAACAGACACAAATATTTTGTCGATTCCGCGAATCTCCCTTCCAAAGGGAGGTTCGAATGGAGCTATGTTCCCAATGGGCTATTATGACCGATGCTTAAATGAAAGCTGGAAGTGTCTACTTTAAGAAAATTAGATTGGTAAAAATTACTTTGGTAAATTAGATTTGATGACAACAGCGGGAAAGTATGCTTATGAAAAATGAATATTATGTATTAAAGAAGTAATGCAAATGATAATATTTTTAACAGATCGATATACCGTAACCCTTTGAATTTAATTGAAGCTTTCGAGAGTTCAGAAATTTCCAAGGAATTATATTTCATTTTAATAATTATATTTACATTATATTATATTTAATAATTTCTCTTCGAGTTATCCTTTGCATTACTTTCGATTTTTCTACATATTCAATCACACTGTAACCTGCAGACTGTCATCGAGTGCGATCCTCCAGCTTTAATTTGTGCTCTTAAAAGTTCAAGATTTTGTTCTTAATTATTGATAACAATGGTTCAAACGTGTATGATATAAAACTGATCAGAAATGATTCTTGCCGCTTCGCCATATTGTCGGCATCGACAGCGCCGCTCCGTGTAACGGCGAAACGCTCAAACTGGTAGTCGAAAGTTATCGACGCGTTACTCGCACGGTTACAGTTACCAATTTTATCAATGATGACGCTGTTCTATTTTACCAATAACCTTATGCAGTTACCATGCCATTTGTTTATCGATTTGAGCGTTTTACCGTCACAAGTATTGGCGCTGATTGAAGATAAAAATAAACAAATGATTCTTGCCTCAATTTGCAATGCACAATATGGCTATAGGAGCAAGAATAATTGTAATAATTGATAACAAGGATTTTTCAAGATATGTATATAACAGCGTAATATAGCGAAGTTTATCTGCGAAATCAATTATTTCCTTTTATAACGTCAATTTCATATGCGGGCAAGTCTTCGGTCGAGAATGGAGCATGTGGGATAATAAAATAGATAAATTAATATCGATTACTACTTTTTATCCCACGGTAAACACACAATGATTTCATTCGGAAAATATACGTTCTTGTTACCAATTCTCTTGTGCATTTGCGCAGCGAACAATGTTGATTGTTATACTCCAGTTGTTTTATGGCATGGAATGGGTAAGATTATTTTATTCTCATATAATTTATGTTTTACGGTATTAATGTCTATTACGTGGTTATATTTTCAGGCGATAGCTGTTGCTTTTCATTCAGTTTAGGATCGATAAAGAAACTAATTGAAGATACATTACCTAACGTTTATGTTTATTCCATTCGTATAGGGAATAATGTTATGGAGGTGAGCATAAAAAGACAGACACTGCTAAGACAGCAATTTCTGTTACTATTAAGACGATAATGTTTTAGGATGTGGAGCACAGTTATCTTGGAAATATAAATGAACAAATATCAGAAGTGTGCGATTCGTTATCGAAGGATGAACAATTGAAAAATGGTTACAATGCTATTGGGTTCTCACAAGGTGCTCAATTTTTGTACGTATGATTGTTAAGTATCTGTCATTCGTTTTGAGACATTGTAACTTCAAATAAGAGCAAGACTGCGATTTTCTTACAGGAGAGCTGTTATTCAAAGGTGTCCTAATCCGCCAGTTAAGAATTTTATTTCTTTGGGTGGTCAGCATCAAGGTGTTTTTGGATTGCCTAACTGTCAGAGTTTAGGGGCTCTCTGCAAGCGCATTGCTCATGCGATTAAATATGGAGCATATTTAAGGCACTTCATTATTACATTAATTTGTTTAATCTTCGTCGTTATAAGCCTTGCAATAACACTATTTTATTTTCATTTAGCTATGTCCAAGATAAAGTTATACAGGCTACCTATTGGCACGATCCTACTCAGGAAGAGGAGTACAAACGTAGCAGTATACTCATGGCTGATATTAACAATGAATTAGTCATTAATGAGGTAAACTATCGTAATGTCTATTAACTTGGATTGTGTATAAAAAATGAAAATGAAGAGGGAACATTTTAGTGTATGTATTGAAATTTTGTTTCAGACTTACAAGAATAATCTTCAAAAATTAAATACGATGGTATTGGTAAGATTCGATAACGATAGTATGGTTACACCACGGGAATCCGAATGGTTTGGATTCTTTAAGCCTGGACAAGACCATTTGATTCAAACTTTAGAACAGACCGATTTGTATCTCCAGGTAAATAATGTATAATTTGTAATTTCTTTTTAATTACAAAGTTGTTGGCAAATGAACTAATAACGTATCGTATTTCTAGGATCGTTTAGGACTGAAAGCGCTACACGACTCAGGAAAAATTCACTTTCTCTCAGTCCCTGGGAATCATTTACAGTTTACTGAGAAGTGGTTCGTCAATAAAGTGATAAACATGTATTTGTCGTAACTAAGATATATCAAGATACACACACACACACATCCAGAAGAAAATGCCTTTGTAATATATTTTTCTGTACCGCTTCATAAATTTAAGTGTTACAAGCTTTTTATATAAGGCCCATTAGAAACAGCCTTGTTGGAAATTAGCTAGAAATCATGTTTTATAATTATCGTCTTATATAGAAAATGTTTCTAAAGTTTGAGAACACAAGTCTTTCAGAATTCTTAATAAAGTGTTCGTTTCGTTAAATTCCTTTTCCTCTCAATGCTACTCGCATAAATACACATACAGGGTGTTCCACAATTATTTTAACAGCCGAAAATGAGGGGTAGCTGAGGTCATTTGAAGTAACTTTTTCCTTTGCGAAAATGCAATCTGCGGCTTTGTTTACGAGTTATTAACGAAAAACACTGGCCAATGAGAGGTGACAGTGCGAGAGAGAGAGTCCGCGAGAGAGTCCACAGCACGAGGCTTTGACAGATGGTCGGGACGGACTCGAGCC